TGGTGGAAACCATGGCTTTTTCGCCGTGGTGAAACCAGGACTCCACCACTCCACCATAAACTTCAACACCCCCTGGAGAAACCCCCTGGGGGCAAGGAGATTTATGTACACTTATTTTAAGGGACGATTAGGAGGCATTGGGGAGGTGCTTAATATTGGGGGAATGGGATTAAAACCTCAAGCGAAAAAAGAAACACAGAAATGGGTTGCTTTCTATGGTTTAAGCATGATACATGTGATTCTGGAAAACATCGGGATTTACTGTAACATGATTTAACCAATGAAAAATGGATCTGATAGAACTATATCACTCGTAAAGGGAAATGTCAAACATGGGGAACATGAGAAATAACTATAACATTATCATTTGGCTTGATTCAAAACATATGAACTCATATATGGTCCCTCACCAGCTGCGGGGTGCGCAGCGCGAGTGCGCGAGCATTTGACACGTGCGCGCGCGAGGTGCGCGAGCAACGACAGGCGCGCGCGCGAGACGCTCGAGCAAATAGAGACGCGCGCGCGCGAGGTGCGCGAGCAAGGCCAAGATGCGCGCGCGTGTTCGCGCGCGCGCCCGTCCGACACGCGCGCGCGCACATAAGCTCTCCGCGAGCGCAAATAAGCTCTCCAAATCGCAAATAAGCTCACCAAATCCACTTTTGGAGAGCTTATTTGCGCGCGCGCGCGTGTCGGACGGGTGCGCGCGCGTGTTCGTGCGCATCTTGGCCTTGCTCGCGCACCTCGCGCGCGCGCGCCTCTATTTGCTCGCGCGTCTCGCGCGCGCGCCTGTCTGTGCTTGCGCACCTCGCGCGCGCATGTGTTAAATGCTCGCGCGCCTGCGCGCGCACGATTTCAACAGGAAATGTTTCATATGTTTTAAAAAATGACAAATTATCATTATATAATATAGATTTGAGGTGTCCTATTTTCGGGTATCCTTAAATGGAGGAACCAACGTGCCGTGATGGGGGTATAAAACCGACAAATTTTACCGAGATGCAGCTGAACCAACAAGTCGCCCTTGTAAAGTGATCCTTGATGAAGAAAAACACCAAAAGTTTTCCCCATACCCTCTGGTAAACTAGCATAGCTATTGAAAATTGCCATTTATAGTGGATTTTCCCATTAAAAATAGTGAATTTCCATAGTTATGTTAATTTACCAGAGAGTAATTAAAAAATACTCCAGGTTTTTTTTATTGTTAGGGGGGTGTTTAGTATTGGGAAGGGATTCTTCTAAACCCCTACCTTTCTCAAAGGGTCAGCTTTGGGAAAACCCCAATTTCTGGCAGTCGAGATCCGAACCTGTTTGATTCCCCTCGCGCATCTTGAAGCCATTTCTCTCCGTCCTTCGCGGACAACATGTCATTTCCAAGCCATCTCCTTTCCCATAGGATCCATGTATGGTATATATGCTAACATTGGGGGTATATTGATGGCAAATGTTACCATATATATCCATATATAGCATACATGGATCCTATGGGTTTACATATTACATATTCATCTCGAAGGCTAATGGTAGACCAACGATGGCACAACTTTTGAGGAAATCAAGCAATCAGTTTGAACTTGTTGCATCCAGGCACTCAGAACTGGCCAGGAAGCATGGGGAAGCCGCCTCTTGCAGTGACCCTACACTTAAGTTCTGTTAGGTCTGGTATCCTGATATGGTTCCAAAGTCACAAGCGCGGTGAACCACAGGGAACTATGGGATCGAGATTTTTTGGCAGTGAATTCAGCCAGTTTTCTACATTCACACATCATCCTTTGGGGGAAATATTCTCCTCTGGTAGTTTTAGCATAGCTATGAAAAAATTCGGCCATTTGTAGATGATTTAGCTATTAAAATGGTGATGTTCCAACCATTTTCCATCGCTTTTTCTATGTTTACCAGAGGCTAAACATGAATAAACCAACATCTACACATCACAGGAGGTTCCCACCTTCAAAGGATTCCTCCCCAGCGCTGCGGTTCCCACCTTGCGAATATGCTTCTCCGCGTTCTGCAGGGCGCTATTCATCGCGTCGACTGCAGTGAAAGCTGGGAGAGCAACGAATTCCGGGATGCTCCCATGGTGGAATATGTACAGTATATATCAATATCAACATTTATATATCATGTATCATCCCAAAAGAAACGTCCATATATATATATATATATTAAAATATAATATAATATAATATAATCTGTGGTGTTTTTATCATAGGTGAATAGTTGCTATAGGGTTATACATAATATATATACATATATTAATACTATTCTATCGGGTCACCCCCACATATTTACATATATATTTTATGTAATTATAGTATATATAATATGTTATCCGGGTCACCCCCATATGTTT